CCTGAAGACTTTTAGTCACCCCCCACCCCCACCCCCCGCCAAGATGGGAGGAGAATGAAGCCCTAAGAGGGACCGGTACAGACCAGCCCTGTTGATGTGGGAGCAGGAGCTCACAGACGTGTTTCCTGCCCGTGGCCACCAGGTCAGCCTGGCGAGGGCCCCTGCCTGGGGCAGCGCCCGTCTGTCTGGGCGCCGTGCTGGCCGGCTGGTGAGCTTGGGAGGACCATGCTCTCTCTCACCTCACCTTTAAGAACAGCTCTCACAGGCGGTGTGGGGGCCCTTCTAGTTAAACCCAGCCCCTCCTGGGGGGCGGGAGGGCAGGGGAGCGGTGGGGGGGGGGGGCAGGTACTGGGGCTGCTGTGCTCTGAGCCCTGTGCTGGGCCCAGATGAGTGTGGGCCGTGGAGGAAGAGCTGATCCCGATGGAGAGCCTGTCTTTGCCTTGACTTACCACGTGGCTGTGAACCAGTCACTTCCTGTTCCGGCCCTGCTTTCCCTCCAGGAAGATCGGGAGGTCAGCCAAGTCATCCCTGGGGCTCCCCTTGTCTCTGATGTTATGAACACCTCCTTTCCTGCCTCTGGCATAGGGCCTCAGGCCCAAGAGCCCAGGGACCCCGAGAGCACAGGAGTGCAGACTGCAGGTCCACGCTGAGCCTGCAGGGGGCGCCAGGGGCATTAAGGAGCAATGGACTTGGGAGGCTCTTGCCCAGCACCCCACCTCAGCTGGGGGACACGGATAGCCCAGCCCGAGGCCAGGGAACACTGAGCCTCAGAGCGGAGCTAGCCCTTCCCCCCAGGCAGCTGGCTCCGCAGCCAGAACTCCTCCTCCCGCCCCAGCAGGCTGGGCCCAAGCACATTGATTTCGGGGCAACGCCTGGGCCGAAGCCAGCCCTCCCGGAAGCCGAGGCGCCCAGCTCCAAAGTGTGCTCCCCAGTGCCCGGGGAGCAAAGCCCTGGATGAGAAAGCTGCTGCCTCCGCCCCCGAAGGACCGGCCAGAAGCTCGGCACTCTGCTGCTCAGGCCGCGGCCCAGCCTCCGTTCCCCGTCTGCCAAGGAAAGCACCCTGTGGGGGCTCCAGAGGGCAGGCGCCTTTCCATTTTTTAATTTTTAAAAAATACTTTTTATTAATTTCAGAGAGGAAGGGAGATAGGAACATCAGTGAGGGAGAGAATCATGGATCGGCTGCCTCCTGCACACCCCACACTGAGGATTGGGCATGCAACCCAGGCCTGTGCCCTGACTGGGAATCAAAGCATCACCTCCTGGTTCTTAGGTGGATGCTCACCCACTGAGCCACCCCGGCCGGGCCAGACGCCTTTTCAGGCCAAGGTAACCGTGGCTCCGCCAGAGACCAGCCACCGCTGGGCCTGCGCTCCCTTCCCGGCCTCTCTGCCGGCAGGAGCAGCAACCCTGCAGCATCAGACTCTCCATGTCGGGGTCCTCCTGGAACATTCTCAGTGCATCTGGGCACTGGCCACCGGCCAAGCTCTCAGTCACCAGGATAAAAACAGAGACCAGCAAACGGGAGACATGCCGGCGCCACCACATTAGCACGCCTATGCCGCAGAGTTGCGATTGTTCTCATCTGGCAAGTGTGTGTGTGTGTGTGTGTGTGCATGTGTGTGCATGTGTGTGTGCATGTGTGTATATATGTGTGTGTGTGTGTGTGTGTGTGTAAAAGAAAATGCAGAGAGATAAGAACAGGCACCAAGAGAGAAACAGTATGTGTCTGCAATAGTGGCACCCGAGCCTGGGCTGACCCTGGCCCTGAACTTGGGGCTGACCCAGCAGCACATCCACAGGCCCACGGCAGGCGGGGCAGAGCTCCGCGGGCACCCTGCCCTGGAGCTGCTGGGCAGATGCCAGCTGGCTGTCACCTACTTCACGGAGTCAGAGGAGGGTCTGCCTCGCAGCCGGGCTTAGACGGGGCAGGAAGGGTGACCGCTCTGTTGGGAGAAAGGAGAGACACACCGGGAACCAGTCAGTTGTGGGGGGCGTAAAGGTGGGCGTCGTCCCAGGAGCAACGGAGAGCCCACCAAGCAGGGGTGCAGGGGGAGGCACAGAGCAGGTGAGCAGCCATCCGGTTGCAGGAGGAGTGGGAGGTGCTGTCATTGTGACCAGGAAGCGGCTGCGAGGGTCTCGGTGGGGACCTGGCAGAGCCTCCCCTGAGCCAGCTCCGCTCTCGGGAAAAGAAGCCACACGCACGGGAAGTTCGGGGAAGACACTGTTTATTGTCGCCATCGATCCAACCCAGAGGACGAGCTGCCAGACTCCGGCCGCTCCGAAAAGCAGACAGGGCACCGGGGGGCTGCTGCCCCGCCTCGCCCACCGCACCTTGAAGTTGAACCTTGACGTGCGTGAGTGTCCCCGCAAGGGCGCCATGAGCGAGGAGCGTTCCCTCCGTGGCTCCTGCATGGGCTCGGAGCACTGAGAAGGCTGCCCCCGCGGCGCTGCTTTGGGTGAGAGGGCCTGGCCTGAGTGTCTAACACTATTCCTACAGCGACGGCGTGCAATGCATCAGCAGCTGAATGAAGAAGACTCCGCAGGAGGACAGCAGGCACTGTCTGTCCTCAGACAAGAAGGAGGGACCCGCTCCAGCTGCCCTGCCACGCTGTGGCCAGGGCCGGCCGGCATTTGCAATTGTCCATGTGCTCACCCTGCCTCGGGAGACTGCCAGCCCGCCTCCCCACACAGGCACTGGGAGAAGGGGGACCCCACCACGTCCGTTACTGACTGAGAACGGTGGGGCTGTCCCTGCCTGGGGCAGCATTCGCTTCCAAACCACTTCCAAGGCAGCTCGAGCGAGGCACTTCGGTCCGACCCTGAATAATGTGCTTCGTTCCTGCAGGCCCCGTCCCTCGACCGGCCGGCCCCTCCCTCCTTACGCTGGCCTTCATTGGAAAGAAGGGGGCGGTGAGAGCAGGAAGGGGGGCCGAGGAGGAACAGCAGCCTAAGCCCAGCGGAACGCAGGCGGGGGACATGCAGCCGCCGGCGGGGCGCAGAGCAGGGGGAGCGGGGCCGGGGACCACGCGGTCCCCCTCCTCACAGGAGCTGGCTGGCCCCCGGCCCCGGAGAGGGAGGGAGAGGGAGAGGACGTGCCGCCCGGCCGGCTCCTGGGGCTGCTTCTCGGGGAGTCAGGGTTCTTAGATAAACCCGGGGAGTCTGACCAGTCCCCCTCGGAAGGTGATGGGCCTGGGAAAGGGGGTCCGCTCTGCACAGAGCCTCACTCATTCCCTCCCGGGAGGGCACCCGCGGCTGAGGGCGCTCCACACCTGGTTCCCCCCTTCGCTCGACCGCTCGGCTGGAGAGATGGGCAGTGCCCGCCCGCCTGCCCGGCACGCTGGTGGCTCAGCCCGCCGCTGGCAGTGTGTGATTGGCAGTTGGGCACTGGGCAGCAGTTAGAATTCCCTGGTGGGCGGGACCCACCCACCCCAGGACGCCTTGGCCGGCTGCCCTCGCCCTGGGCCTGGCTCCGCCCCTCCCGGACTCCCCCGCCCCCCTCACTCCAGCTGGGAGCCAGGGCCGCACTGATGGAATGAGTTCGCCCCGTCCTCCGTGCTGGCCTGGCCGCCCAGCTCTGTACGGCTGTGTGCACAACACCAGCACCTCCCAGCGGGCCATGCACATGTCAGTACACGGATGTTCAATGGACGGGAATTAAACTGGACCTCCCAGATGCCCACTCCCCTGATTGGCCACCTGAGGGCAGAGGCAGAGTGGTCCCTGAGACTGTCACTGCCTGTCCCCGCCCCCCAGGCTCCTTCCCACCCTGAGCTCTGCTCCCTGAGTCTGCGCAGGACCTGGCTCCCAGGACTGGGAGGAGGCCCACCTGGGCATGGGAGGGGCATGCCAGTGGCCCTGTCCCCACCCCACACCCCACCCCTGCCTCGTGCATCACCCATCCCTGCCTCGGGCATCACCCACCCCTGCCTCGGGCATCACCCACCCCTGCCTCGGGCATCCCCTCTCAGGGGGAGGAGCAGGGCACCCCTCCCCTCCTGCCGGGACAACTATGGCTGTTTATTCAAACTGGAGGCTGACAGCCCGAGGTGTGCAGGGCCCTCCGTTCCGTCCCTGAGCCTCAGTTTCCCGTGTGCAGCAGGCATGCTGTGGCTCGTTGGCTTCTGGGGTCTTCCAAGGCCTCTCGTCTTGGCTCCCTCTCCTGAGACCCCCAATGTGAGGGACAAGGAGGGACACGGCTCCCAGCCACGCCCCTTCTCCCCAGGCAGCCATGGGGGCCTCTAGCCCCGACAGACATGGCCACGGGCTCCTCACGCTCCTCGGGCCTTCCCTTCGCATCCAGCCCAGCCCTGAGGCCTGGGGGCTGTGAGGCGGTCCCTCCCCCCGCCCCAGGCCCGGCTCACAGAGGCGCCCCCTCTGGTCCCTCCCGCACTGGCATGTGCCTCCCGCTGGTGGGCACTCCGGGCAGGAAACGACCACCGCCTGGAGCACACGCCGCCCGGGACCATGACCGTGACCGTGACCGTGACCGTGACCGTGACCAGGCCCGGCCCTCCGTGTGCTCTCACCGAGCCCGGGCATCACCAGCCAGCGGAGACCACCGGCGGCAGAGCTCCTCCTTGGAGCAGCGGGCGGAGCCGGGCGTGGGACCGCAGTGTCCACTCGCCTCCATCTCGCTTCCCTTCCAGGCCCTGGCTCACGCACCCCGATTCCCAGCACCCCATGACCAGCACCAGCCTGCAGGGGAGCCCACCCACCCACAGGTGCTCTGAAGCTGTCCCCAGAGGAGTCCCCGTGCGAGCAGGCAGACACTGGACCCCTCCACCCTCACCCCCCCCCCCCGGGCGCTCACAGGCCTCCCCTCCTCTCAGGGGCAGCGGGACCCTCCTCCCTCCCCCGGGGCCTCCCTCCCATACTCCACAGCGGGTTCTCCCGCGGAGACTGTGCGGGGGACAGATGAGGGGTCGGGGCGCAGGCCGGCGGGGACCTGGTCAGGAGAAGCACACACACCGAGAGGCAGGGGCTGTGCAGGGGGGAGGGGGGGGCCGCAGGCGGCCGCTACTTGGCACCATCCTCGGTGTGGCCCTCGCCGTCCGCCTTGCCCTCCTCCTCCGTCTTCAGGTCGTCGGTGCTCAGCTTCTGCTCCTTCTTCCTCCGCACGCACTTCACCACCATCAGCACCAAGATCACCACGGCCAGGAAGCCGCCGACCGAGGCGCCCACCACCACGGCCACCGTGGAGTCCCGCTCGGGCGGCTCTGGGAGGAGGAGACAGACGCTGAGGGCCGGCCGCACGCCCCGGCCCCGGCCCCGGCCCCGCTCCCGGCCGGCCGGCCCCCTCTCCGCCGGGAGAACTGCAGTCAAAGCCAGAGCAGCCGCCACTGCCTCCGCGTCCCCCACCGAGTCCGGCCCGGCAGCGGGGCGGCAGGAGGGGCAGCAGGGAGGGCGTGGACTCAGGTCAGACAGACCGGTGCGGCCGGTTCACCCCAGCCTCTGCCTCCTCACTCACATCGCAGTCCTGCCTGAGGCTCCTGGGGACGGTGAGAGGCTGCAGCCAGTTTGGTCCCGGGCCTGAGACCCATCGAGCCCCATCAATGGAAGCTGCTAGAACGACTCTTAACGCCCTGGGCCTGACTGACAGTGTCAGGAGGACTCTCGGAGTCACGCTCCCAGGTCCCTAAGGACGGCAGGGAAGAGAGCGGGTGCTGGGCCACCCTCGGCTGGGCTCCCAGCGCCCCCGCAGGACAGCCTCCCCGAGGCGCCTCAGGGCGCAGGCTGCGAGTAACCGTGCTCACCCTCCATGAGCACCCGCAGCTGGATCTTGCCGTGGCCGCGGTGGCGGTCGGGCGGGTTCAGGATGTAGCAGCTGTACAGGCCCTCGTCCTCCGGCTGCACGTTGCGCAGCGTCACCGACACGTCGTACTTGCTGGGGTTCCCCGAGAACTCCACACGGTCCCGGAACCGCTCCAGCTTCAGGTTGATGATCTTCATGCGGAACTGGAGGAACTGGGGGTGCGAGGGGCAGGCTGGGAGGGTGGCAAGCCCCGGAGCGGGTGCCTCCTCCAGCGTCCTTACCTGGGACAGGCCGTTCCCTCGGATCTCCACCCTCCCCGGGCCGCGGGGCAGCACACCCTCCGCCCCAGCAGCCGGCCCCACCCCCGACTCACCATCTCCTCGGAGCAGTTGCCGCACTCCTGGTAGGTCCAGTTCAGGGAGAAGTGCTTGTGGTTCACGGTGTAGCAGGAGTTGAAGGTGCAGGGCAGGCGTGCGTCCGAGCCATTGAGCACGTTTAGGGTGGTGGGCACCGTGACCTCCATGCTGAGCCCTGGCCGCACTGCAGGCAGAGCACACGCTGCTGAGGCTCTGCTGGTGGGAGTGGGGGGGGGGGGGCAGGCTGCACCTGGTGGGAGTGGGGGGGGGCAGGCTGCACCTGGTGAGAGTGGGGGGGGGCAGGCTGCACCTGGTGGGAGTGGGGGGGGGACAGGCTGCACCTGGTGGGAGTGGGGGGGGGCAGGCTGCACCTGGTGGGAGTGGGGGGGGGCAGGCTGCACCTGGTGGGAGTGGGGGGGGGGACAGGCTGCACCTGGTGGGAGTGGGGCCGGGAGGGGGGGGCAGGCTGCACCTGGTGGGAGTGGGGGCCGGGAGGGGGGGCAGGCTGCACCTGGTGGGAGTGGGGCAGGGAGGGGGGACAGGCCGCACCTGGTGGGAGTGGGGCCGGGAGGGGGGGGACAGGCTGCACCTGGTGGGAGTGGGGCCGGGAGGGGGGGACAGGCCGCACCTGGTGGGAGTGGGGCCGGGAGGGGGGGGGGCAGGCTGCACCTGGTGGGAGTGGGCCCGGGGGACAGGCCGCACCTTGTGGGAGTGGGGGGGGGGGACAGGCTGCACCTGGTGGGAGTGGGGGGGGGACAGGCTGCACCTGGTGGGAGTGGGGGGGGGGACAGGCTGCACCTGGTGGGAGTGGGGGGGGGGGGGGACAGGCCGCACCTGGTGGGAGTGGGGCCGGGAGAGGGGGGCAGGCTGCACCTGGTGGGAGTGGGCCCGGGGGACAGGCCGCACCTTGTGGGAGTGGGGGGGGGGACAGGCTGCACCTGGTGGGAGTGGGGGGGGACAGGCCGCACCTGGTGGGAGTGGGGGGGGACAGGCCGCACCTGGTGGGAGTGGGTGGGGGGGACAGGCTGCACCTGGTGGGAGTGGGGGGGGGACAGGCTGCACCTGGTGGGAGTGGGGCCGGGAGGGGGGGGGCAGGCTGCACCTGGTGGGAGTGGGGCCGGGAGGGGGGGGCAGGCTGTACGTGGTGGGAGTGGGGGGGGGACAGGCTGCATCTGGTGGGAGTGGGGGGGGGCAGGCTGCACCTGGTGGGAGGGGGGGGGGGACAGGCTGCATCTGGTGGGAGTGGGGGGGGGCAGGCTGCACCTGGTGGGAGTGGGGGGGGACAGGCTGCACCTGGTGGGAGTGGGGGGGCGGGAACAGGCTGCACCTGGTGGGAGTGGGGCCGGGAGGGGGGGGCAGGCTGCACCTGGTGGGAGTGGGGCCGGGAGGGGGGGGCAGGCTGCACATGGTGGGAGTGGGGCCGGGAGGGGGGGACAGGCTGCACCTGGTGGGAGTGGGGCCGGGAGGGGGGGACAGGCTGTACGTGGTGGGAGTGGGGGGGGGGACAGGCTGCATCTGTGGGAGTGGGGGGGGGCAGGCTGCACCTGGTGGGAGTGGGGGGGGGACAGGCTGCACCTGGTGGGAGGGGGGGGGCGGGAACAGGCTGTACCTGGTGGGAGGGGGGGGGGGGACAGGCTGCACCTGGTGGGAGTGGGGGGGGGACAGGCTGCACCTGGTGGGAGTGGGGGGGGCGGGAACAGGCTGTACCTGGTGGGAGTGGGGGGGGGACAGGCTGCACCTGGTGGGAGTGGGGGAGGGGACAGGCTGCACCTGGTGGGAGTGGGGGGGGGGACAGGCTGCACCTGGTGGGAGTGGGGGGGGCGGGAACAGGCTGCACCTGGTGGGAGTGGGGGGGGGGGCAGGCTGCACCTGGTGGGAGTGGGGGGGGGAACAGGCTGCACCTGGTGGGAGTGGGGGGGCGGGAACAGGCTGTACCTGGTGGGAGTGGGGGGGGGGACAGGCTGCACCTGGTGGGAGTGGGGGAGGGGACAGGCTGCACCTGGTGGGAGTGGGGGGGGGGACAGGCTGCACCTGGTGGGAGTGGCGGGGCGGGGGACAGGCCACACCTGGTGGGAGTGGGGGGGGGACAGGCTCACCTGGTGGGAGTGGGGGGGGACAGGCTGCACCTGGTGGGAGTGGGGGGGGGCGGGAACAGGCTGCACCTGGTGGGAGTGGGGGGGGGGACAGGCTGCATCTGGTGGGAGTGGGGGGGGGACAGGCTACATCTGGTGGGAGTGGGGGGGGACAGGCCACACCTGGTGGGAGTGGGGGGGGACAGGCTGCACCTGGTGGGAGTGGGGGGGGGAGGGGGGAGGACAGGCTGCACCTGGTGGGAGTAGGGGGGGGGACAGGCTTCATCTGGTGGGAGTGGGTGGGGGGACAGGCCGCACCTGGTGGGAGTGGGGGGGGGGACAGGCTGCATCTGGTGGGAGTGGGGGGGGGGGACAGGCCGCACCTGGTGGGAGGGGGGGGAGGGACAGGCCGCACCTGGTGGGAGTGGGGGGGGGACAGGTCGCACCTGGTGGGAGTGGGAGGGGACAGGCCGCACCTGGTGGGAGTGGGGCGGGGGGACAGGCCGCACCTGGTGGGAGTGGGGGGAGAGCAGGCTGCAGCTGGTGGGAGTGGGGGTGACAGGCCGCACCTGGTGGGAGTGGGGGGGGACAGGCCGCACCTGGTGGGAGTGGGGGGGGACAGGCCGAACCTGGTGGGAGTGGGGGGGGGAGGGGGAGGACAGGCTTCATCTGGTGGGAGTGGGTGGGGGGACAGGCCGCACCTGGTGGGAGTGGGGGGGGGAGGGGGAGGACAGGCTGCACCTGGTGGGAGTAGGGGGGGGACAGGCTTCATCTGGTGGAGTGGGGGGGGGACAGGCTACATCTGGTGGGAGTGGGGGTGGACAGGCCGCACCTGGTGGGAGTGGGGGGGGGACAGGCTGCACCTGGTGGGAGTGGGGGGGGGAGGGGGAGGACAGGCTGCACCTGGTGGGAGTAGGGGGGGGACAGGCTTCATCTGGTGGGAGTGGGTGGGGGGACAGGCCGCACCTGGTGGGAGTGGGGGGGGGGACAGGCTGCATCTGGTGGGAGTGGGGGGGGGGTGGACAGGCCGCACCTGGTGGGAGTGGGGGGGGGGGGAACAGGCTGCACCTGGTGGGAGTGGGGGGGGACAGGCCGCACCTGGTGGGAGTGGGGGGGGGACAGGCCGCACCTGGTGGGAGTGGGGGGGGACAGGCCGCACCTGGTGGGAGTGTGGGGGGGGGACAGGCCGCACCTGGTGGGAGTGGGGGGAGAGCAGGCTGCAGCTGGTGGGAGTGGGGGTGACAGGCCGCACCTGGTGGGAGTGGGGGGGGGACAGGCTGCACCTGGTGGGAGTGGGGGGGGACAGGCCGCACCTGGTGGGAGTGGGGGGGGGTCAGGCCGCACCTGGTGGGAGGTGCAGAGCTATGCAGAGGTGGGCCCTATGGCTGAAGCATTCAGGGGTTCAGGAGAGGGCGGGGCAATAGATGTGGCCTGGGGTAAAGTGGGGCAGCACAGGGCTGGGGAGGAGAGACGGATCCCGTCAGGCCGGGGACAGACAAGGCCCCAGGCCTTTCCCGGGTCCGGGCGGCAGCCCCCGCCCGCCGCTGCGCTGTCCCTCCGCGCTGCCTGCTCTGCAGCTGCAGGCCCCGGAGAAAGGTTTGCTTGTGCTGGCCTCAGTTTCCCTCTTCTCCACCACTTGCAGCCCTCTCCACGGAGCCCGTGGGCTCGAGCCGAGTGTCCCCAGCAGGTCAGGCAACACCTCCTTACAGTTTGCACCCAGGCACCTCACTTGCCTCACCCTAATCCTGGCCTTTTTAAATGTATATATATATTATTGATTTCAGAGAAGAAGTGGAGAGAGAAACATCAATGATGGGAGAGCCATTGATCGGTTGCCTCCTATTTGCTCCTTACCTGGGCCTGTGCCCGGACTGGGAATCGAACCATGTCCTCCTGGTTCATAGGCCAACGCTCAGCCACCAAGCCATGCCAGTTGGGCCTAATCCTGACCTTAACTGTAAGATTCTTTGCCAACACTGCCAAAACCTCATTGCCAACGCTTCATGTCCCCAGAGGACACACAGCGACCTTCGGCCTCAGTCCTCTCGCTCCTTCGAGAAGCTGATTACCCACCTCCTGTGCCCGGAGGCCGCCCAGTGCCGCCCAGAGCGTGTCCTCGGGGGAAGGGGACGAGGCCGGGCATGGTGACGGAATACAGCGAGGGAGGCGTGTCTGTGGCTGGTAAGGCTGCCTGGAGGGCGTGTGGTGCTCAGGGAGCCGCCTGGCAGGCTGAGGGCTCTGTCCGAGGAGTGAGCTTCCTGCCTCTGCGGCCCCGGGAGCAGAGAGACCAAGGGCGATGGGGAGACTGAGGCCCAGGGTCAGGCAGGCACCGAGGCCCAGGGGCCTGGGCCCCACAGGACTTGGGGTGGAATTCCTGGGAGTGAGACAGGAAGCCGCGGGGACTGGGGCAGGGCCCTGCAGCAGGGGTCTCTGTAGGAAGGGCACAGATGTGGGGGCCTGACCAGAAGCGGGTTCAATCACAGCCGCCTTCTGGGCAGGCCCCTCCCCCGAGCCTCACCGCCACCCCAGGAACGCAGCGGCTGTTGGGAGAGTTAAAGATGGAGTGTAGGAGCAGGGCGCCGTCTGCCGGCCAGCGAGGGCGCAGCAAAGGGGAGGGAGCAGTCCCCGGGGAGGGCGCCTTGGGCAGGACCCCTGGGGGCTGTTTCCACGCTGCTCTGTGGTGCAAAGTCCCCCGCCCCGCCCCCACCCGCCCCAGCAGCCGCTGCAGCCCCGGGCTCAGCGCCGCAGGAAGAGGACCCAGGGCGGGGCCTGAGGCGCTGTGGCCAGGAGGTCAGAGCGGCCCAGAGGGAGGGCCACGCAGACCGCCCGCCAGGCACACCCCGAGGAGCAGGGGCTGGGCGGCTGGTGGACCACGGGGGAAGCCAGGCCCTCCCGCTGCACAGCCCGGAGGAAGGGCTGGCGTGCTCGGCAGGAGGAGGGCGCCACCACGCCTCCCTCCGGGGAGGAGGGAGCGCAGGAGCGTCCGGAGTCAATCGAGCTCCGAGCTCCGGGCGCCGGCACCTTCCCTGGAAACGCTGCCCCGTCCTACCCCACCTACCCTCACCCCCCACCCACCCCCACCCCCAACCCACCCCCCACACCACCCCCACCC